CAGGCTAAGCGCGTGGGTCCTGGTGCTGCCCAGCGGACGGCCAAAAGGCCAAAGATCAAGGGCAAAAGTTGTCCATGGAAATTTCAGAGGGTGTGAAGCCCCAATTTGATTCCTGACCCCCCAAAATCCCTGAAGCTTCCAGGCTCCAAACAAAGCATTGGAGCACTTGAACACAGCAAGTCTGGAAAGTCAGCCATCCGTGTCAAGGCCTCCGCAGGCTGCATGCGAAGTCCCTGAGCGGGTGATCGCAGATGAGAATGCGCCACCGAAGGCGGATTAAGGACTTTGGGTTCTTGTATTTGCGGATTATATGGCATGGGGTTCAGGATATGACGTGTCGAGGCCTGCTTGATTTTCCGAACGGCTTTCAAAGAATTTGCTTCCAAAATAGTTTGTTTGAGGTGCTGTGGGCAATGTATCAGGATCTTCCTTATACCTTTATATACGAGTATATGGTCCCGGGGGGGGTGATGTAGGAATGATGGAGAATTAAGTGGAAAATGCAATACTTCCAGGACACTCCTAGTACCCTCATTTGACGTTACCTGGCCTCATAGCGGGTACTCAGGCCTGAATAGAGGGTAGTTGGAGGGTCTAGGTAGAGAGCAGGACTTTCGTTTGTGTGAGAGACGGGTTTGAATGCTCCGATTTGTTCAAGGCACCTTCAGCTGACCTAAGTGGACTGTGGTTTGTCAAGAGCTGCGAGATGCTTGAAGCCCAGAGCAATTCAGCGTACTTGGAGGTGCAGGGCAAATAGAGCCTAACTGATGATTATTGGCGCTGGTTAAACTCCCAAAAGCGGCTTCTTTGTGCTGGAGCGCACTCATAATTTGATAGGATTACTTCAACCTCCAAGTAGGCTTATATAATCCCTGGTACGTCAGCATTGCATAAGCTTGAAGACGTGATTCACAAGTTGTCCGGCTAGGTGAGTGTGAGTGTGTGTAACCCTAAACCCTAAACCCTACTGTAGCCTGGCCACAGAAAACCATGGAGGTGTCGTCCTGGAGCTGCTGTCGACGGAAACGTAAAGTTTCTTAGACCCACTGGTTCAAGTCTACAGGCGAGGAGGAGGAACACAGAATGATACAGAGGGGGAGATGCGAACTTATGGCTGCCTTGTGGGAGGTCAGGCCGTCTAAGTATGTGGGGTGGAAGATTGGGGCCCGAACTCTGAGAAATACCCGTAGAATTAGTTACAGTAGAAGTTCGAGTAGGGTTACTGGCTTGAGCTTACAAGTAGCATTTTTACATTCTGCAGCGGGACAATGCATGTCATTTTTTTTCGAGCTGTGCACTCCTCAACTCTTTCCTGCCGAGCCAGTGTGTATACACGCGACGCCCAAAGTGGCTGGCAAAAAGGTGCGCTTTGTCGAGCTCATATGGGTTCTAGCGTGGTGAGATTACATCCTGGCGGAGCTCATGCACGACCAACGCTCCCAGAATCTCCTGCTCAGGAGTTTGCCGAGATAGGCTTTTAGGCCCTCGTGTATTGGTCTCCTAGAAATAAATGCCAAGTGGCAGCTCCAAACACAGAACGGCGCCTTCAAGTTTTGGGACTGTGAGGCCTGCGTCCAGTAATTAGGATCAATATCATAAAGAAAAAAAGAGAGCAGCACTGGCGACAGCAGCATGCTGTGACTCTACTCAGATCCCACTGGAATTGATGTCGTACACCTGACCTCTGGCAAGCAAGGAATGAAGGAATGCATCCTTAGGTAGTCCTGGTACTGTTGATGGATGAAACCTTGCACCACCTAGGTGCCCTAGAGCACTGTAATTCCTAGGACTTTAAGGACTTAAGGGGGTGCAAGATTTCCTCCATCAGCAGTATGGTGCCCAAGAGTAGTTTCCATGTTCTTTTCCATTCTTCATTCCCCTCTACCTCAGGGATAAGATATACAACCCTGCCCTGGAGCATATTTGTGTACTATGTGGCTGAAGGCGTTTAACTTTCGAAGCCCCTGCACCTTCACAAAAGCTGGGGCCTAGAAACTCAAAATCTTTGGGAACATATGAAGGCAGCTGCAGTTTCTCTGAGTTTGGGAAAGATTTAGGGATGAATCTAGGCAAGATTGATTTTGCTGAAGATGTGACAAAGTGTTGCCCCTGCGAGATCTACGCAATACAGACCCGTATGATATTGCGGAACAAAATTATGCAGTCCCGTGCTGGTCTGGGCAAATTATGATGACCTGACCACACCCAACACCATCCCAAATGGTGGGCTGCATAGAAAACAGTCCCGGAATAGTTTCATTTCGGGCTTAAAACTGCTCTAAAACAACCAGCTTGTGTGACTTCTTGACAGAAATCTGGCCCTGCCCATATCAACTGCTGAGATGCGGCCTTCTATGTGTTGGCAGTGGAGATGGCTTCCCAAGGGCAAGGACCCTATTATCAGAGTCTGCAAAGGGCTTGACACCTTCAACCCAAGAGGGTATCAAACGGGGATGTCTCAACATCAGCCTGGCATGGTACATGCCCGGAAAGACACTGTCCTAAGTCCTAGGTGGTGGTTCAAATCTGTAGACAAGGGGTCAGAATATTGACAAAACCTCAAAATGGGTGTTTCTCAACATTATCCCTACAGAATCCCGGAAGGGTGACGCTAGGATCCATGTAGCTATACTTCCTATACATCCTTAGGGTCCTTAAGGGCTCCCTTTTTCTAAGCAGTCCTTAAATGGCCAGGTATTGCGCATGGCTATGGCACCAAGGCTTCTCGCAAGGCCCAAAAGGCCGAGCTTAGAAGTGCTTGGGGTATACGTTAGGTGGACCCCCCACCCTGTAATAGTAACTATAAGGGATACCTGGACCCCAAAAGTATGTAAAATCATAGCCTTTATGGCTATTATTATGGGTTTAGGGCTATTATTTTACATACTTTTGGGGTTTAGGTAATGGTAATTATTTTAGGGTCCTCTTATAGTCCTATTATACCACTATTACAGGGTGGGGGGTCCTCCTAAGGTATAGGGTTTTTTTCGGGGCTTTCCAGGGGTTACAATGGGCTTATAATGGGATAATGGATATAGAGCTACAAAATGGTACTGCATTGGAGGGTTTGGGTACCCTCTCCACCCCCCCCCTCCTAAGAAGCGGCGAGAAGGCCATTTTCTTTTTTGGGAGCTATCCGGACCTGCGTGCGAACCTGGAAGTAACGGAAGTAACCCACCGTAATCATGCATGGGGGAGGGGGGCAGGGAGTGCTCTGGGATAATTCAGGGTATTTGGCTTCCCAAATTCTTAATGTTCTTATTCGGTTCTTATTGATCGTACGTACACGGATCCGCTTACAAGAACTTGTACAAAGGCACCAGAGGGAAATATCATTAAAACTCTTTACAAAACTTTGTTGTGCTTAGACAAGGCCTTTATCGAGCAAATTAGTGTGGAAGGTTCTAGCGCACGAAAGTACAAATGCAGAAGCTGGGTTCGTCAACCAATCAATAAAATCTCGCTAGAACCAAGTAGCCTCCAACTCAGTTTGAAAAAAGGGGTGCTTTCATGGTGGAAAATATCTCGAGCCCCATCGAAGCCGTTCAATGAAAATCCCCGCCACAGTGAACAACGTTTCAGGCAGGAGAAGGGTGCAACGTTTGGTAACATTTGGTGGCAGGACATGCGGTATCTTCAGGGGGCAGACGTTATGATCGAGGAACAGAAGCTTGGGACAGAGCCATTGCTTAGGTGAGGACCCCACACAGTAATAGCAGCATAACAGCTATATTATATAGGGAACCAAAAAGCAATTATGAATCCTGAGCCCTAAACCCTAAATAATTACCGCTATCTCATGTGTTCACTACTAGCGGGTGGGTCACAACCTAAGCTATAAGCCTTTCGAAGGCGCGCCGACGCCCGCAGAAGCGGCGTGTGAGCCGCGGCTCCACCCCATCCTCACCGGAGGCAATGGCAGGCGCAGAGAGATCCTACAAGAGACCTGGACATGGCCCTTGCAGAGTTTGAGTGTAAGCTGCAAGGTCCATGTAGCTGTATGTAACTATGTAGCGTATATATGTGTGTCCTATCGTAGGTACTTGGGAAACTCCTTGCGGCAGCAAGTATATATTACATGCCTACATGGGCACTTTGTGTAATAGCTTCTGCATGGCCTGGTGAATGGGCTAGGGGGCACAGGACTTGGCACTACCATTCCACGAGCATCATACACGAGGCATCTGTAACAAGGGCGCTTGACACGTGTGCTCAAACATGTTCTCAAGAAACCTTGTATACACTCAGCGAAACTAAGGCTGAACAACACATGATATAGGTTACCATGTCTGATATCATTCAATTGACATCTGGCATGCTACGCTTCTTATAGGGCTGCTGCTAAGATTTTTGCCATGGTGAGGAAGACTTCAACATGTCCCTGCACCGCCAAACCCTGATGCCCGAGCCATTACCCCCTAAACAAACAAACCCTTGCACCCTCAAGACCCTTTTGCCGAAAACGCGGAGGGGATGCTGCAAAGCTGCTTGTGCGTGGTTGTCAAAATGTTGTTTGGTTTTGGGTTCCCTAAATATTAGAGGTGCCGTACTATAATAGGGATCCAAAAAGGGACCATAAATTTGACAACCACCCTTGTGTTGTTGGTATCCCGAGCGATGCTGATAGTGTGAGCAGGGCCAGCTACGCCATGTGATGTGTTAGTGGATGTCAACGTTGACCTTAGCGTGTGGTATGTGAAGTACTACCAAGTAAATGAACGTGACATCTTTCCATATGCGTAGCTCCAGAGGGAAGAGCTCCTGCTCCAACGACCCCTCTTTATTTTAATCCCTGTGCCAAGAAGAGGAAGCATGGAGTCCAATGTTTAACAGTCCCATGCCACGCCACCCCCATTGCCTAAGGACCACCCCTTGTAAAATCAATGTCAACTGATCTCAACGCACAGCTGCTTATCAACCAGCCAATCAGCGCTACACTAAACCTCGAATCTCTCAACCCGGCACCTTTTTTGAAAACTGGTCATGTTCTCCGCCTGAAGGCAGCCCGCGCTCCCGCGGCATCAAGCGAGACCTGAAGCAGTCATGCGGAAATGGGCTTCGCATCGCGGAGAACGGCCATTTCTCTGCAACAGGACACTTGCTGAGCGCAAAGAGCTGCAGAAAGGGTAGGGCGGAGCTGTAGAGGCAGATGCAAGGGCCGGCGGGTTGAGTCATGACACATTCAGAAGCCATGTCTAGCAGCCCTTGACCGCAGGCCACATACTTCAAGGCTTCTTTTCAAAAGCCTACTGTCAAGTTGCATGACATTGGTACGCAATGATCGCATATTTCCCACAGTTTAGGGTACTCAGGGCCACGGAGGAGCTTTTACTATCAACCGTATTCGGCAGTTTGTGCCAGTCCTTTTGGCTTTGTCATGCAGGAGCAGTCAAAGCAGCTGCTTCTCGGACTGAACTTAAGGTACCCCAAAAAAGGGAATTGAGCTGCAGTCTAAACTCCTTAAAGTGGGGTTATGTAGGGGAGTATTATACGGCTTGTTAAGGGGGATACTAGGAGTTGAAACCATAGCTCATATGGTATTGGTTTCTACGCAGCGGGCCGAAACTAAAACTAGGCCATAATTATTAGGAGGCTCTTTGACTTTTCGAAAAATCTTCTGTAGTGAGAGGGGTTTATGGGGTTTGTAGCCAAGTTTATTTGGGATAGTAGGTAGACTTATCAAGCCAAGAGATCATCCAAGTATAGGGACCCTCAACCCGAGACAAATAGCCCCTTAGTGACACGGCCCGGGGAACAGGCAATAGTCACAGAACAGGGCCGGTGGTGAACCTTTGTAGCAATAGGTGGAAGACGACGCTCAATACTGTCAGGGCAACACTTCTTGGAAAGCCCTTCGTAGTTCTCGGTAGGGTTAGAAGCACCCTCAAGAGAAAAAATGCCGGTGACAGCCACCGTCACCCTTGTTACACCTGGGGTTCTAGTTGCCCAGGAACCTCCAGGCACTGGGGGGTTACAAGCTTTGAGAACTCGAGCCCCGTGAATAGACGGTGGATTTGGAGCCTCAGGCTCAACCACACGGTTTGGGGCTAAAGGAGGTTTATCGCAAGTTGTAAATGCGGGGCTGCAACTTAAAATGCCCACATCAGTGTAATTGCACCTATTTCCATCCTTAGTTCCAGCATCTCCAACCATAACTGACTGTGAAGATCCAAGTATCCCAAGCGTGCAAGAACCGAGCGGGTGTCCCTTTAGCTTTTACCTAGCGTTTAGGGTTTAGGGCCGGCAAGTTTCCATTGGGCCCTGCATGTCGTGGTGCAATTTCTGGGCATTCATGTTTTACTGGCCTGAAAAAGCTGCAATGGTCAGAGCTCCGCGGACAGCAGCTCCAGCATGGCCCTCCCATGACAAGAGGTAAGATCTTATTACAGCTGTTGGTGCGTGCTTGTAGGGTTCCTTAGCGGGCTCCCGGAAAACCATCAGATCCTTCCACATGTATGCCGCCCGAGAATGAGAAGATCATCATTATGAGGTTCCCCCCCCCCCCTGCGGGCAGCTTATAACTCTTAGCTCCGAATGAGCAATGCCATGGCCTGTGCAACACCTTCACCTTCTTAAAAACTTGTACAGACTCACGCCTTCGAGGATTCCTTTTTTTTTCCACGAGGCCTTAGAGGAGTCACCATTCCATGAAGCTCTTCTACGCTTGCAAGCTACTAGAGGTAACCGCGAGCATGCTGCCCGAGAAGCAGACCACGGCGAACTTGGCAAACATAAAGGCACCATTCAGTTTGCGTAGTCGGAAGGCACAATTCTTGCCGCGACTGTGTTTGGGCTGCATGTAGAGGCTGTTTAATCACTAGAGGGAACTACAACATGTGTTGTGCACTTAAGGTTTCCACTCTTCGGGGTCTTAGTAGGGGAGTTTACCAATGTACGCGCATGTAGTTCCTGTTTTGTGTGTTAGTGTTTTGTTTTGTGGTCAGGATCTTGAAGAGGATGCTCAAAGATGCTGAAGCATCACATTGGAAAGTAGAGTCTAGCCGACAACCCTAAGCCCTGATCAGGGGTAAGGTTTTTTTTTGGGGTGGAAATTTGTGCTACGCCTTAATTCCCAAATAATCCTCATCAAGCCATAAACATTGAATTTTATACGGCCCCAAACCTACGGTAGGGATGGTGTTTAGGGCTTTGGCGTCTGGGCGGGGTTATGTTGGCCTTGGCACAGTAGACCTGCTGGCATTCGGTCAGAGGTGTTCAGGTTCGAGTGCCACTGTGGATTATATAAGGTTTGTATAAGGGGTATATAGCTGTTATATAGGGGACATATAGGGGTAGGGTTTAGGATTTCCCAAAATTATGGTTACAATTTTGGGGGGATCCACATAATAATATTTTGCAATGAGGAGGTATGTTTTCAAGAGCTATATCACCGCGAAGATATTGAGACCTGAGCATGTCAGCAGCAAGACCAACTATAATCATCAACACCCCTGAGGTGGAAGCCAATCCAAAGGCTGCAGGCTAACTTCATGATACTACGTACCAGCTATCCGGCGCGGTATCAGAGGGTCGTGTTTTATTTAGGCAGCCAACATTGGGGCCAACATCGATATCAAGTAAGACTCGGAGCGCTGACAACACTTTGCTCCTAGTTGCTCGTTACGCAAATCCTGCTGGCTTAATACCGAAAATTCCCCAACATTATTAAGCATTGCCGTTATGGGGAGTATTCAAGAATGGGGAGGGAGGGGAATCAAAAAGAGTAGCTGTTCTTCTGCTTGAGCAAGGAACTGAAGCCACATTCTCCAGGATGGAGCAAATCTGATCCTTTGGGATCTCCCTCATCCTTTGTACACCCTCCCTCCCTCCACCCTCGCAGCACACACAAAAGCCTGAACTTCTGAACCGAAACTCCCAAACCTCAACCCAAAACCCTGAACCCTAAGCCCTAAAGTGCGCCTGATTCAGGCTGTGCTTATCAACCTGGACAGAAGCCTGCTCCTAAGCAGGTGTTCGTATGTGAATGTGTATATATATATATATTTATATTTGGGTGTAGAAATTTGGAGATCCCCTTCTGGAGGGGATCCCATGTTTCAAAAACTTTCACATTCCTAAGCTTCTTATCATTGCAGGGAGTTTGAAGAAAACATGGCTATGGTGCCGTGGTGCCTCATGGAGGGTTCTTTCGACATCCCCTGCAGAATGCACAGAACCTTAAACTCGGTATTATGGGGGGGGGGTTCCCAGAACAGGGAGCCCAGTCTACTGAAATCCTTCTTATGCGAACTCCCAATAAAGGATTGGTAATTTCTGAACCACCACTCTAACATGAGCCCTCGAAAGGCAAGGCTGGTCTTGAGTCAGAGCGCTGAGCTGGGGATTCAGTTTATCCCTTTGTTTTCCTTAGCTATTCCCCACATAGGCCATATGAAGTAAGCTGTTGGATGCGATGATGAAGACGCTCAAGTCGCTATTTTGTTCGCTGGTGCTGCTGGTTCAGGAATATGTGTTACGTTCAAAGGGTTCTGCTGATTGCATTAGCAATTCCTGCCATACGTCTCATCATGTGGGAGCACACTATTCTTGCCGGGTCATGGAAACCTCAGCAGCCAGGAAAAAGGTACCTTCTCTGTATAGATGGGGACATAGATATAGATGTTGGGGTCTGTCTTGGGGTTTATATACATATATACATACACAATATATATATATACATATATATAGAGGGGCAACTCACCAACTAGGCCCTCAACCTCAAAGCCCAGCTATCAGTCGAGAGGGTGGCCTCGCTAGGACTCATATTTGCAGGCTTTTGGACCAACAAACCATACCACAAAAGGCTTTTGGGCTATTTTGAGCCCTAGGGTTATAGTAGGTTGCCATGTTTTTTTTGCGCTTCTTATTCGGGGCAGGGCTTACCCTGCTGAGGGCCAGATCGCCTGGTCGAGTGTTCGAAGCGTTTGGAAGCCCATTGCCCCTGGCTCCAGTGCGCTGGGCCATGATCTGTGAACAGCTTCTTCAACAGGGATAGGAAAAGGTACCCGAGTTTTGACAAACTTCCCTGGTTCAGAAAGGCTTGTCTCTTCAAGGCTTACGGACTAATCTCGTCTGGGCCCGATGCAATTCAGTCTGATTCTCTGATAGGTGGCGCCAGGATATTCCCAGAAGCATCCCTGACATGCACAGTACCGAGGTTTTATGACGAGTTGTCCTCCTTAAGCCACCATAGCTTCGTTCTGTTTGTGCGACAATCTGGAAGAGGTCGGCGATGATTTGCTCAGCAACAACATGCCATGCATTGACATATGTTTTTTTGCGCTAGGATGCCACTAGTGGTATGTCGGGATTTGGACCCTAAACCCTAATCCCTCTAGGCAAGAACAAGCCTAGCTATGCGGACTGCATGGCGATGACACAAGTCGGTCTAGACTGCTTTGACACTTTAGCAGAGTTACCTCTACAGGTCTGTAAGACCCAAAGAGCCAAGATGCAGGTACAATCGAATGCGAGCCAGTGATGGCAAGATCGACTCAATTCCCTCAGAAGAGGCTGGGTCTTCAGATAATCCGGTTCACTTGTGATTCAGGCTAGATATCGACTCAGCACAACTAAGTTCTTTTCACCAGCCTCATGTGGTGAACGATCTTTGAGACCTGAAACAACGCCCTGCGAAGATACTCAGAACTGATGAGGCCCTACACCTTAATTTCTACATGATCACTCGGAAGAAAGCCCTGTATGGCCTCTAGACTGTCTCTAAAATGTCCCACTGCGAGCACATGAACCCTAATAGCCATTAATTAAGGAATATAGCCTAAATGGTGGTAGGGTCCCTAATACGATTTAAGCCATGATCCCTAACCCTAAACCCTAAACCCTAAACCTTAATTAAGGAGTATTCGGCTCCCTGAGAAGCCCCAGGTTACCCACTCATGGCACACGGGCCGCAACGTCGTCTACCAGAAGATCAGGTCACGAAGAAAAGGCCTGGGAGCAACGCCAAAGGGGCCAAGTGCCTAGAGGAGCCATAATCTAAACTCCTGAAAGGGGTTCTATAAGGGATTATAGAGGGGAGTATTAGATACTAGGAGTTTAAACTTTGTAGGGGGGTTCTACAAGGAATTATTTCAGATAGGGGACTATTATATGGGTTACTAAGGGGGATACAAGGAGTCTAAACTTCTTAAAGGGGGTTGTATAAGGGA